AACTCGGGCTGGGCTCGGGTTAGCAGGAAAGCACTTGATATAGGGGAAGACCCTGCAGCCTTGCCTAAAGGGCAAACCATTAATGTGGGAAAGGACGATGTATCAGCTGTGAAAACAGTTGGTTGCTGCTCTGCATAGCTGCTAGAGTAAAAGATTTACGAGTGTGATTGAAAAGCTTGCTTGCCTTGGAATGTCAAGAACTCTACATTGCAGCTCCTGGTTTCTTCGCCTCTCACTTTATTGCTTGATTTGTTCACTGATATGGTTTCAGTGGCTGTGATTTTGGAGCTTTGTCGGAGACTTTCAGTTTGTAGTGTATAAAGAGAAGTGGCATACAAATTCTCCTTTCATACAATGCCAGTTTTTCTTGTAATATGTACTTTGGTTGTTTCCTCATCTGTATTGTTTCATTTGTCTACTCTGGTAGTTAGTGTTTGTATCTGGTTTCTTGGTAAAATTCTTGAATCTTGTATAACTTATCAGGTGTTATAAATTTGTTTATCAAATTATGCTTCTTTAAAAATATTCTGATACATAATCACTGCACTGTGGAAAGTTGACTCGGTTGTTGAATGGCGACGCCACAGTGCCTATTGAGTGAGTGGCAAATATAAGACTCTACTCACTATATGGTAACATGGACTAGCCTGTGATATATCAATGGTAACATGGACTAGCCTGTGATATATCAATTATAGATTGTGTGCACTTGATTTGCGAATATGATTTCGCCTTTTTTTTTTTTAAGATTGTGTTTGGAGAATGATATGAATCAAACCTAAAATGTTCACAGGCAAGTCAAGAGAAGAGAAAATGTGTTAACAGTTCTTGTGTTGCCACTAGGGTTAAAGGGCTCTTTAGCGACCTTCTTCAAGTGAAGATATGGCTTAATGGAGAGAGGCTGAGACCGATAAGTCTATTGATATAGAACTAATCACAAAACAATCTTAGTTATACTTATCAGATAATCAGGCCCTTCAGATTGCTCCACCTATGCTTAATTGGGCTCTTGAGATTGCTCCACCTATGTTTAATGCAGTTGGTTTTGTATATGTAAACTTATTGATGCCAAATTATGTCAATTCCTTTTCTGAGAAGATGTTCAGCTAAGATTCAAATTTAAATTGGCCAGTGTGGTCAATTTTTGATTGGTCCTAGATTGTTGCCAAATTCCTTTTCAAAAAAAGACGTTGAAGTTAAGATTTAAGCCGAAATTGGCCAATGCGGATTGGTCTTTTACATTGATGTCAATTCCTTTTCGAAAATGATGTTGAAGCGAAGATTTAAGCTGAAAATTGACCGATGTGGTCAATTTTGATTGGTTTCACTCACAAAACCATGATCAATCAAAACCAAACAAAGTGGTCTATTTCGGCGCGAAAGTCAGCTTAAGCAGCAGTGGTCCTTTGTTTATAAATCTTACTGCATAGCCAAGGTGCACAAATTTCAAACTATGCCAGTGCATCTTCTGGTTTGCTTAATAGACCATGACATAATCTCAATCCATTTCCACCAATACATTTTGTAGAAACAAAAATAAAAAAAATGTTCATGTGCTTAATTCAAAGATATTGTTTATTAAAACAGGCACTAGTTCTCCCCTTTGAGGATTAAAAAGAATAATGCTCATACTTATCAATTTTATGCAACACTATTAAATAGGCATTCAATAATTTTAGAGCACTAACTCAGCACGGTAACATGATACTTCTAAATTAATAAAAACACTAATCATAAGATCAAGTTGAGTCGTTTTGACCCACTTTTCCTGGACTACTAAATAATTTTCCGAGATAATTCATTTATTCTCCGAAGACCTATTCTTGCAATGCAAACAAGTTCCCTCCAAACAATGGACAAACTTCTTCAAACTCTTCATCCCACAAGCTTTTTCAAGCATATCATCCCTGAATACCCTGAATTCCAAATAGTCTGCTCGAGCATCCTCACCATTGTTGCCGACAAATTTACAGTGCAATACATTTATCTCCCTCACACACTTCAATCTCCCATCTAACATAATTCCCAGAGCAGCACAAGACAATGTAGATTCACAAACATCCAAAATCTTTAACCCAGAAAGCCCCTCAACCAAACAAGTCACTTCTCTCTCCATCAATACACTTCCATGAAGCCTAATCTCTGTCATGTTCTTGCACCAATCAGCCAATTGTGAAATTACCAAACAACCCCCATTCGGGCTAATCCGTGCCTCGAAAATTTTCAATTTTTGCCAGTACAGGAGAGAGACAAAGATTGGAGCCATATTCACAGAGGCTTCAGAGGAGAGAGCAACACTAGTGATATTGGGAGTGTTCTCTGCTATGTAGACAGTGCCAAAGTATCCAAACTTGTGTTTAGAAGGGAATTGGATTGAAACCCATCCATGGTAGTGATTGATGGCTAGTTTGAGGAGGTGGGTGAATCTCAGCCGTTGTTTTTTTCGATGAAGGGTGTCGATTAACCGGAGGTCAAGATTGGAGTTTTTGAAGAGGTTGTGTAAGGTTGCTGAGAGCCATGAATGACAAACATAAGGTGGGCCAAATAACTGGTTATGTGGGCTTAGAAAAGAAAATATTTTTGATAGTAGGAAGGGGTTTAGATCTTGCCATGATGGGTTTTGCTTCTGCTTCTTCTTCTTCTTCTCCATTTGGGATTGCTTGTTGAGATTTGCAGGGTGAGAAATTTGAGTTTGGGATTTTAAGAGAAAATTTGGAACGTTGTGAGACAACTCTGTCTATATTTTTGGTGTGAGCGTTAAACTTTAACGGTTAAAGTGCTGAGAATAATAGTTAAGTTCGGTCCATATTTGGTGTGGGCGTTAGAAGAACATTTAAAGGAGCTTTCCTAATTCAAGAGGACCAAGAAAATGACAAAATAAAATTGTAAATGGTCCATACATTATGTGGTTTTTCTAATTTGAAAAGACCAAGAAAATTACAAAATAAAATGGTGGATGACTTGGACTTTTCCGTCATTCTTTGCCACTCACTACTTTTATTTATTTATTGAGAAAGTAACTGACAAAAAAAAAGCAACAAAGGAATCAATAATAATGTCAGGACAAGTCTACATCACTTTCAATTCTAGTGTCGGTTTTCATATATCGTATTTGAGGTACAATTTGTCCTCAATTAAATAAATATATTTATTTAGATAATTGTGTTTATTTGAATCATATTATTTTTTTTATTTTTTTGAGTTCGAAATCTCTTCTAAATTTTTTATGATTATTTACTAAAATTGAAAAGTGATGGTGGGTTTTTCAAGTTTAAATTATCCTAAACAACTCTTAAAATTTAGATCATTTTAAATAATCCTAAATTTTGCTGCTGTTGAAAGTAGTGGTATTGAAGGTTCGACCTGTGCTCTTCAATCTTGGGTTCAAGATCTCTATTATGGTTTCGTTTGGAAAGTGGGTTCACGTTTTGTCATTTTGACTTTTTTAATTATTTTAGTCTGGAATTAAAAAGTTTGATTTGGGAAGTGTTTTTAGTTTTTTTGACTTTTTTATAAGAGAAAGAATGCAATGATTATGGGTTAGATGTGATATTTTGTCTTATTAAACTAAAAAATCTATTTTATTTTTTTGTAATTATTTTAACCAAAAAAATTCTCAAACCCAGCTTCTCAAACACAGGCTATATTTTTTTATGACTCTTGATCGAAATTGAATAGTGATGGTGAGTCCTCCACATCCTCTCCAGCTTTGGGGTTCCTGAGTCATAAAAAAAAAAAAAAAAAAAAAAAATAATAATAATATTAGAGATTTTAAAAGTTCTATTAAAATTTTTATCAAATGTCAGGTATGGAACACACACCATGTAAATCCTACACCTTGTAAGATATCTAATAAAAATTTGATAGAACTTTTCAGCTGGTCTCAAATTGAGATCAAGATTGGACCCGTCTAGTTCGGCCCATGGACTTATTTTTTGGGCCCGTTTTGATAATCCGAACCGTGCAATGTGTAGAACTCGTCAAGTACTACATGCTTATAAAAAATCACGTTGATCGGATATCAATAGCTATGTGATCAAATCAGTTTTGTATAAAAAAAATAGACGGTGAAACAATTAAGGGTTGATAAAAAACTGTTTTGTTCACATAACTATCGATATCTGATCAACGTAATTTTTTGCAAACATATAGTACTCGACGAGTTCTACACATTGAACGGTTCAGATTATCAAAATAGAACCTGTGATGAATCTCTACAGATCCAACAGAACAGAACGATCAAATCTGATCTTGGACTGGACCAAAGTCACTGCTTTTTTTTACATAAAAACTTCTATTGCACCGGTCGATGACTTGTATCAGCAAAAACTGGCTGCGTGGCAGAAGGCCCACCGCGCCTTAAACTTTTGAATAAATTACAAATACATTTCTTAAGATTTATTTAAAATATAAATTGTTCTTGTGATTTGAAAAATTATAAATATTTTCTTATTAGAATTTTTATTTAACAGAATTAACTAAAAAAAATAAAATTCATAATTGTTCTTCGATACAATAGTAAAATTACCTAAATTATTAATTGAAACATATTCTAACGTCATTAAAAACGATTAATTGACGTGATGATTTATTAATAAAAGAGACAATTTGTTATGAAATTGAAAACCTCAAAAGTGAGACGTAATTTTTAAAATTACAAAAAATAATTTATATTTTAATCAAAACTCAAAAAGTGTATTTATAATTTCCTCTAAACCTTTTTCAATGTAACGTTTTCCTAACGTTAGCGATCTATTAATGATTCTACGTCTTTCCATTCCAACTCCTTTTTTCTCTCGGACAAATTATGCCCTAGTTTTTATATTTTGTTATTTATGTTATTTTAATTGACTTAAATTTGATTCTAAATTTATAATTTAGTTTTAATTTAGTTTAATTGATTATAATTATAAATAATTTTTAATAAAAAAATAAGTACAAAAGTGACAAGTATTGTACTTTTAAAGATAAAATTATAAAACTGTTGGACAATTTTCACTGTATTTAATGAAATAAATAAAATTTGTTTTATATTTAACAACAAACGAAATACAGAAGAAATAAATGATAGGAGAGAGTTTGTTTGATTACAAAAATAAACCAGAAAATAACATAAAATAAATAAAATAGATTTTTATTTTGTTACAAAAACAAAATGAAAATCTGAAACAGAAAAATAATAAAACAGAAAATAAATAAATTACTTACCAAATTAATTTCTTGAACAAATTTTCTGATCAAGTCCAGTGTTTAACACTATGTCCTTAAGACAGATTCGTCTTCTCCACGGTGGTTTCAGATTGTAGACGTTTATCTCCTAGGATAAAATGATCAACAGCAAACAATAGTAACACTACAAATTGTTTGCACAACGAACACACTTTTGTGTTTACACTCTTGCTCACAAGAAAAAAAATGCAGCAAAATGCAGAGAGAAATTATAGAATATTTTGGACAAAATTGAAGTCAAAACATCAAATGAGGGGTTGCCTATTTATAGATGGAGTGGTGGCTGTTTAATTTGAATTAAACAGGTACAGATTTGAATGAACAGGTATGGTACTTGTTCGGTTTGAATAAACAGATATAAATCTGTTGGGTTCAAATTTTGAACAGATAAAACCTGTATTAAACAGATTTGAATTTGTCCGGGTAGGGAAAAAAAAACGGAGCCCATTTTGAATTCAATTTTCGAAATTCAAATTCCAAAAAATTAGAATTTAATTTTAGAAAATAAATTTCAAATATTTTTGGCTCAAAAAAATTGGTATTGGGTAGACACGCCCAACCCAACCACACACCACCGCCCAAGCCCAGCCCGCCCGCCCGATCGGACTGACGACGGCGGCGACGTGCTCGCATGTGTTTATTTTGGATCCAATGAATTTAGCCCATTTTGCCCATAACCTCCCACTATACAAAACTTGGGTGCCCTTTGGGGCCTACCCCAAGTTCCAACCTTAAGCCTTATAAACCCATTCAAAGTTTCCCATCAAATAAATGTGGGACAAGCCTTTATTCAAACCTTTAGGAAATCTCACCAAAAACACCATTTCCATGGAGCTCTCTTTGACTTCAATTTCCCATTCACTCGATAATGGTTTTGAGCAACCAAATATACCACGTGAATCACAACGCGACATAGAATGCGTTACCACTTAGACCTGCCAACTTTGGCTCATGGGTCCTATCTAAAATTTAGATCGAAGTTAAGGAAAAATCTAATTTCCAAAACCATTTCTAACAATCCCTCACATAAATGGAATTTGATGACAACAGAAATGCAACAATATGCAGAATTTGTCGAAAGAGTATAAATCGAATATATCTTGTATCAGGATAGGTAGTTTTCAGCCTTGAACCTTCCCTAATGATAATCTATCGGACTTACTAGCTAACCAATGGACGCGATGCTTTGAATTGTTCAGCCGTTTGTGTAAGCCAAGACAATAAATTTCACACAAAATATCTTCTGACACACCGTGGTTCTGTTCATTTTGGATTTGAACGCTCATGGTTGTTCATGAGTGCTTCTAGAGAATTTAGCATCTTTATTCTCATAGAACCGACCCCAGTTCGACACTCATATAGATGATTCTTATTGTGAGTATCTCTTATACTCGTCTTGATTTTATGCCTAAATCAAGATATGAGTAATCATTAAAAGCTAAGCTTATCCTTAAACCCCTGCATACAACACATGTTGTAGATATCACTCTCACTATAAGAATCGGTAGAGAATTTTAATCCCTTGGTGATTTCTGGCGTGCCACACATAACTTAGTTGTCCCTTTGAACTTAGTTCTTGGGATCTCTAGTCATATAAGTACCATTATGATGACTCTTATGTAATAGACTTTAATCTCATTCCCTTCGATGAACTGTACACTTGCTCTTTTGTCAAACCTTTTGTTAACGGATCCGCAATATTCTCTTTAGATTTTATATAATCTATTGAGATTATTCTATTTGAGAGCAATTGCCTTACAATATTATGTCGACGACGAATATGTCGTGACTTACCATTATACATATGATTCTGTGCCCTGCCTGTTGCAAATTGACTATTACAATGAATGCAGTGCCACATTGGAATGTCTTCTAAGAAGTGACGAAGCCATTATGTTTCTTTTCTTGCTTTGTCTAAAGCAATGAACTCAAATTCTATTGTGGATTGTGCGATGCATGTTTGTTTCGTGGATTTCCAAGAAACAACAGCGCCTCCCAGAGTAAAGACGTATCCACTAGTGGATTTTGAATCCTTAGTATTCGATATCCAATTGGCATCAGAAAAACCTTCGAATATTGCTGGATATCGAGTAAAGTTCAAACCATGATATGGGTAAATCTTAGATATCTAAGAACCCGAATGATCGCTTTCCAATGGTCTTTTCCGGGATTACTAGTGTACCTACTCAATTTACCAACAGCATAAGCTATATCAGAACGAGTACAATTCATTAGGTACATTAGGCTTCTAATGATTTGAGAGTATTTTAACTGAGACACTACATCACCTTTATTTTTCGATAAATAAAGACTGATGTCTACAAGTGTTCTAACTATATTCATATCATCTTTGATAAATTTACCAAGAATTTTCTCAATATAATGAGATTGAGATAATGTATACCCATCAGATGTTTTAGT